TGTGATGTGTCGGGAGATGGTGAGGTCATAGACGCCTCTCCTTAAATAAGCTGAATGCAGATGAGGGCCATGCTTTGCAGATACTGATACCTCGGGGATATGTAAAGGTTTTTCAGTGTCGCACAGCTCATTACCATACGTGACAAGTGTAGGGGCAGAAACTCACGAAGCAAAGGCTGCGTTGACACCAAGCTTGTTTGGACCGACGCTTGTGCTTCCTCTCAGCTGTGTGTTCTTACAAGTTTTGAGACAAATATCATTACAGGGCAAGTCCTTCATGCTTATTTAAAGCTCCAGGGGGTCGAGTTTAGAGCAACGGAATTGGAAGACAACACTGCGGTTGGTATTGCTAATTCTTGTTTACCAAGACCCCGATTGACTCCCTTATGACACTTCTCCCCAGACAACTCATTAGACGTCCTCATGGGCAAATGAATGCAGATGAACATACACATGCAACACACACTCACGCACACACACGTTTATCCCTCAGTAATGCATTAACCTTTAAGAAACAGCTTACGTCTTATAATGTGAAACCTGCTGCCATTTAATACCCTGTGCTTCTTTAAATAATGGACACATTATAGATCTCAGCTCTTTTATGAGTCCGCTACAGAGGGACTGCTGTCGAGGACTCCTGGTAAGAGTTGGGGCCCTTTCAAGGTGTGAACAAGCAGAGATGAGACAGATGTTTACAATTAGCAAGATAGCACTGTCTCTTAAATGGCTTGTAATGGAGTGTTAAATAATGCAAAGGTGTTACACATAGCTGGACATGTGGGTGAAACACAAACATAGTGTATCTTAGGAAGCTGTTGTTGCCATCATGACTCACCAGAACAGCTTCAGTGCTCTTTGGCATTGATTCTACCAATCTCTTGATGTGACTGGAATGATAAACACCATTATTCTAAAAGATTGTAATTAATATAGATAAATATAATTTAGCTCCAATTTTGAACTTTCTATAAGACTTAATGTATTAAGACTTTTTCTGCTTTACCTTTGTGAATCTTTTTGTTTTAAAGACTTTTTACATTGTGCACTTTTGATTTATCTTTGCTTTTTGATTATTTCCTTTTTTCTAAAAATTATTATTTTTTTAAACTTATATGTCTCTCTCTGTGTCTCAGATCAATCCTTCGGAGGATGTGGTCTATGCAGCCCATGAAGACCGCCTCCTTTACGTGCCCCATAGACTGTGAAGGGGCGAACCAAAATGATCAAGAGACGATTTCTGTTATTGGTGTCAACAACTTGTCCTACCCTTATTGTTGTCCCGTAGCAACAGAGCTGGAGTTGGACAATAGGATTTGTTTTTAATTGTCCTTGGAATTTTAATATGTTTCCTGTTAGCTGTCTGGTTGAGTTGAAGTATGATACTACCTCTTACCGATTCTAAAAATATTTTGTCAACGAAGCGCAATGAATCCCTGGCATGTGTTGGGCCAGGAAGGACCCATCCGTTGGAGCCTTCGTATCTCAGGGTTAAAAGAATGCATATATTGGCTGCATTAGTAGGAGCTTTCGAAATGGTATAGCCTGGTCTTACCACTGTGACTCAATCGGTCTTCAAATGCAACCTCTAAAGGATGAGGCCCATGAATTGAGACACACCTAACACTCTCCTCAGTTTTTTTGTTACAACCCTTGTGGTGACACATTTGGTGTTTTGATGGTGATGGTGGAGAGTGCCGTCTTGCACGTCGGTCCTAAATGGTGTTCAACTGGTTTGAGGTCTGGTGCCTGTGAAGACCACAGCATAGGTTTGAAAAAATGTTTTTTCACATCAAAACATTCAGTGACCTCTACATGCCCCATGTGGAGGCATCTGCATCTGCCATGTTTCTGCACTCATTTATTTTTAGGATATTTCCTTTAACTTGTCAATGAATGAATGTTAAATGCATTACACATGACAAGCAGCGCAGCCTGGAGTCCTCAAACACAATCTTCTGAAAGAATATAGAAATAAGCCCATTAGTCTCCTAGATTTTCTAGTCTCCTAGAAAATCTATTTAATTTGAATTCCCTTAACTTACCCATCTGAAGTAGCTCCATTAAACCTGCTCCATCATACTACTGTTAAGACGTGGCATCATTCCCAAATCTATTTTATAGTTTGGATTTAAATAATTCCTTTCATCAGTTCACCAAAAACTAGAGGCCATGCTTGTCTAATTAACATGCAAACATGGATGTAAGCCTATTTCCTTTCGAGTTCCAAAGTTTCCTTTAAACTTTAAAGCAGAATGAGTCTGAGGATCTCATTGGTAGGCAGTGCTTAAAGTGATGTATTGAAAAGCTGTTTCATTCCCTCTAGCTTTAAAGTATGACAGGAGATTTTTTCCTATCTGCCACAGAGGGAGCGCTGTGCTGCAGTCTGAACACAGCACGCCACCTGAAAACAGCACACTGCTTAAAACATAGCAGATATAGTGCATGAACTCTCAACTAAAGTAAAAGACCCATAACTTTGCTGCTGTGAGTAAAATGGGTATAAGAAAGAGTGTAAGAAAATGCAACAAACACCAAATGCAGCAAGTACGTGTGGGTTAAGAGAACATGAGAAGACGTACTGTCAAATACTTGTAATAGAGTTGTTTTGAAATAAAGTTTCTATCCTACACCAATGGTTAAAGTTACCTACAGGCGAGTGTTATGATAAAGTTCTGCATCTAACTGTGGCTCGCATCACTAAATTCAAGAACTGATCTTACAATGGAGACGAGCTATGAAGAGATATGAGGACATTGAGTTCCACAAACAGAGAAGAGAAAGCCTGGCTACCATCTCAGTCTGCAACAATATACTCACTCTTTGATAGTAACATTTACTCAGACTTTTTGGTGTTTCAGGATTATTGAACTAACTAACAGTTAAGTATACCTCGTCTCTCCTCCCCTCCGAGCTTGTAGGAGAACCTACAGCAGCCTTTAGGTTACATGAAAATAGAAAAAGGCCCTCTCAAGTTTGGTTTGTCCATTCTGAGCTACTGTAGCATGGTGCTGCAATATGGCCGATTCTGTGGAGATGGATCCACTCCAAATAGACAGAAAGAAAACTAAAATAGAAAGCATATTATTTTCAAGTGATTATGCACAAATGAAAAAAAATATTTGAATATTTTATTCCATTTCTGCAAACAATTCCCCAAAATCCTACACAATGGACATTTAAGCAATATTGACATAATACTTAATTTCATCTAAAGCAAACTGAGCGACTTGAGTGAAGCCATGAATTTCCTACAAAGGTCTTCTCTACATGAAGGTGCCTGATGAAAAGAAAAACAAGGCATCTTGAGACTTACAGTCAACGACTGTACCCAAACAATCCATTCAACGTATGCTGAAACAAATGAAAAGTGAAAGCATCGTTAGAAGACTCATCAGGATTCATCCTCTGGATAGCATGGATTAGAGCCGACCTCTAAAGTACGATGTTAAACTATGATTATGTTTTATCTGTACGTTAAATATAGCTATCGAGACAAATAATCTGCCAATTCAATGTTGTTAAAGTTTCACAACCCTGTGTTTTCAATATAGGGAACAGGAAGTGAGAACTGCTTAGCTGCAATAACAGAAAAAGAGACTTGAAAAAAAGAATGACAAGAATTCAGTGACAGCCTAGTGCCTTAATCAAGCACCTCAACAGCAACGGAAATAAGACAGCTAAATGGAAAAGACATGATAAAAGAGGCCTGAGGACAGAGGGGTCCTGATGCTGTGAAGGCAGTAAAACCCCTTGAAAGTGTGATTTGTGATATTTGACTGTATAAATAAATTGACACAACTCAAGACTCCAGGGCACAGCGTCACACACAGCTGATGACCAAAGTGTCGAGCATCAGCATCGCTACAGCTACTACTGCTTTTCTAGCAGCTGCTGCATCGTCACCCCAGCCTGGAACCGACACCTCCTCTTCCAACCACTGCTACATGCATGGACAGAGCCATGTAAATCTCAGGCATGAGATATGCATGATACTGTACAAAGGTGTAGCCACAGTGCTCAGTCCTCCTGTAAACAGAAAGCTCTCAGCTCACACTCTGAAACAGTCATAATCCCTCCCCTCCTGAAGGTATGTGAACCACCTGTCTTTTTTATATGATGGGTTTTTGTTTATGTGTTTAGATTCTTTCACCTCTGCTTCTTCCCCCTTGTGATCTAAAGGAACAGTGCACTGTGTGAATGAAGCCAGTGAAAACACACCAGTTCTAGTCTTCACTATTTAGAGGTGTGGGTATATCAACAGGATTATTTGGATGGACAAATTCTGAAGGTGAATGTGAAGGTCACCAAAGTGTTTCAGATTGATAGGTAGATGGATATATATAGAGAAAGAGAAGGGCGGGGGTAATGACAGACAGATACAGAGAGAGAGAGAGATGGATATAGTTTCAGAGAGAGGGATAAAGAGATATTTTGATGGATTGAGAGAGAAAGGGCGAGAGAGAGAGCAATGGAAGGAGTGATAGTGATGCAGATGGACAGACAGACAGAGAGTAAGAAAGAGAGAGGGGTACAGAGGTAGATAGATGGATTGAGAAAGGGAGAGAGATAGAGAGATGGATAGAGTTGTAGAGTGACAGAGAGGCAGACAGATAAACAGATATAGATAGTTATAGATAGATAGATAAACAGATAGATAGATATATAGACAGATCTATAGCTATATACATACATACATACATAGATCAGTCATGTGACCCTCCCCTGCAGTCTGCTGGATGTGGCTGATTAGAATATTTTATCTCCACCTCTCTCCAAACTTTTCCTCCCGGCTCTCCCCTCAGTCAGTCAGTCAGTCAGTCAGCCAGTCGGAGCACCGGGCAGCGGTGGTTGTGATGCCGGTGAACGTGTGGTCGCTGTGCCCGCCTGAGGACTCTCTCTGCGGTTCGACAGAGACTCGCTGAGGTTGAACTATAAAGGAGAAAAAGGAGCTGTGTGTGTATGTTAGTGTTGAAGGACTGCGCCTCGGAGAGAAGTGGCCGGAGCCCGTCAGCATGCGGCTCCTGTTGAGCGTTCTGTACCCCGTCCTCTCCCTCACAGTCTTCGGATTATATCCCTCCATGGTGAGTTTGTTTTCCTGTTTTTATGCCTCTAGTTCGGTTTCAGCCCGGGCTTCAGCTGAGGACGTATAGTTTCTCATGCAAATAGGCGTTCGTGCCGAACATCACTCGAAAGTCCTACAATTAAATTTTGTCTAATTTACCCGCAGAGATAATGGAAGTCAATCAGATTAGATTCAAGAGAATTTACACGTCCACAGGAAACACTACAATTCGGGGTAGGCTTAATTAATTTAGCTTTTACACTTAACTATTAATTTAAACTTTGAACCATAACCAGTATCCCTTCAAAAAGCAGCAATCCTTAAACGTCTGACTTTTTATAATGCACTTCTAGTAACTAGATTTAAGAACATGTTTTTCCTCTTAGTTAAAAAATAATTTTGCAGTTTTGCAACTGTTTAGTCCTGCATCACAATCATCACAACATGCAACCAGCACCCATAGATGTTCTCTGCCTTAATTCTAATGCAGCAAATGCTGGTTTATGCTGAATTATTGTGACTAATCCCCCTTTTTTATTCATCTATTTTCTTTCCCATTTAAATTGGTTTGACTGTTCATGAGAATGCAAGTACATACAGCCACAAAGGCATTTCTGTCTAAAAGATGCCTCCATTTGTGACGGATGAAAATATGTTGAGCATTAGCTGTGATATAACCTCTTCAACCCCCCCTCATTTCTGCATTTTATATCTGCAGGTTTTGTCTTTGTGCTTAAACTTTAAGTAGATTTGAGGGGATGTGGACTTGAATGTGTATTGACTTGTGGCTTTGCACTGAGCGGCGGATGGAACAACAGAGAGTGAAGCTGACAACTGGGCTCACGTCTCATAATTCATGGATAAATCAGCGGGGATCTGGTGGTGGAGCTGTCCGCTCTCTAGTGCTGAAACTTCACATAAGTCTGTGGCTTTGCAGCAGCTTATAGAGAAGGATGTAAAAGCTGTCCATCCTCTCACATGCAGGTTTAGAAGTGATTCTGTGTAGATCATCATAAAAGGAAGAGTATGCTCATCAGTGGGGCTGGACATTTATTAGTGACCACTCAACCAAGTTGGTGGAATTCGTTTTCGCTAAAGCATGAAAATAAGATAATCTCAACATTAAAAATAACACGGACAGTAGTGACACATGAGTAGAAAATATGAACAGGACAATATCACATACACTCACAAAAGTGCAGATAAAACCATATCCACGTTATGAGTTTAATCAATAGTAATGTAACAAAGATTAAATTTGTAGTATAGCGATATGCTGCTTATGCATTTTGCACAATGAGGAGGTATGAATCAAAATTGATCGACCTCAGATCTTATAAATGTTCAGTTCCTTTTCATGCAGAATATTTTAAGCCCACAACCTTCACTCAGGAGCAAAAAAACAAGTCTCTCAATTTAAAAATAAAATATTTGTCATTATATGACCATGTCGTCTCGCCCTGCTCAACAGCACACAGTGCTTCGTTCCTAGGGGTGATATCATTGATCCAGTTGTAGCCGTGAAACAATCAGATAATTGATCAATTCGTTCATGGGTAGAAGGTGAACTAATGGCAAGTAGTAGTATGAAGTCTCTCCTGTTTACAGCTCCCTAAACGTGAGGATTTTCTGCTTTGTCTGTTTCACATTATGTCAGATGCACAGAACGATGGTGCAGTAGTTCAAAGGATTGCCTCACAGCAAGAAGCTTCCTGCTTCTGTGTGTAGTTTGCATGTTTTCCCCGTGTTTGCATGGGTTTTCTGCGAGTGACCCAGCTTAATCCCACAGTCCAGAGACTTGCAGAATGTAAAATGATCGTAGGTGTGAATGTGAGTGTGAATGGTTGTTTGTCTTTGTATGTCGGCCCTGGGATGGACTGGTGACCTGTCCAGAGTGTGTCCTGCCTCTCACCTAATGGGATCTGTATAGATAATGGAAAGATTAATTATTTCAGATGATTTTATTATTTGTCTGATTGGTATAGAAATGAAAGGTAGATTCAGCATCAGTGTACACAATCATCTCTATATTTGACATGTTTTCATCATTATAGAGCTCTGATCTCTTGTCTGTGTTATTTGTGTTATGATTTATAAATGGGCTCCTGCAGTGCTATACCTCTGATTACTATCGTTCTGTTCACATTCTGTCTTTCATCTGTTTGCAATTATGTCAATGAATGCGGACGCGGCCATTGAGGAATGTGGGATATTGCTCGGGTGAGGGCTGCATGCAAATTGGTAGCTCGGCCCCCAAAGGCCTTTTTCTGCTTCAGTGTTTAAAAATTATCTGGAAAGGCAAACCTTTCATGGTATTACACTAAGCTGGAAATTATTAAGCTGTCACTCACTGACTGTCAGGCCTTGTACACAAGGCTTTGCTCATTTCAGTAAAGGGAGACAGCCGCAGCCTCTTGGCATTTAGGTTTATGCGTTATTGCTGCGTCCCCCCCTCCCACTCCGGCTCAGTTTAGCACCATTGAAACAATCTATCATCAAGCTGAATAAAGTGGTTAAACTGAGGACTAATGGTATGGATTTCCCTCCATCGACAGGGTGGAATTATCTGAGTTTGGCAGATACCACCTCAACTGATCCCTCGTGAGCCTTTATGGAAAAAAAAAATACATATTTGCATAGTGCAAAGTTTTCCCTTATGGTCTGTGCCAGCCTAGTAATTACACAGTGGTTGCTTACGGCACTGTGTTACACTCATCATAATCAAAATGATGACTGGAATTTGTGTTTTATGATGACACATTATATTCTGCACCTGGAAGACATTTTGATTGGAGGAGAGACTTAATAGACTTCAGGAGGCTGATGTAACAGCATTGCCACTTAAAATTATATAGACACATCTTCGTCTAATTTTAATATTAGGCTCAATTTTAAGTAGAATAACACTAATTTTACTTATCCATTATAACTCTTGTATGTTCACATTCAAATAAATAAAAAAAGAAAGAAAGAAAGAAAAAAAGCTGATGTCTCTTTTAGCAGTTGTCAGACAGAGCCGGTTCAGGCTTAACTTCAGCAAGAGAGCTGATGAGAGAGGTGGGATATATCTGTTGCATTTTTCAAAGTGTAGCTTGCTTTTGCTAGCTTTTATTACCAACCGTAGCTTTAAAGAGTGACTTAAATTATTTCAGCTATGCTAAAACAACCAGTTTACGTTTGTCGTTTCTTTATGCAGCAAACAGGGTCATGTATATTTAATCACACACAACTCCATAGAATAGAAAGGAATCTAGAATCCATCTGGTACACAGCAAAGAGGTGCCTTTTGCCTTTTCTTAGAGTCCATCAATCAATCAGTCAATCAATCACTTTGTTTGTATTGCACTTTTCATGCAAACACAATGTAACACAAAGTGCCTCTAATAAAAACAACCCCCATCCATGCACACAGCAATAAATTACTATGTTATAAATAAAAGACCAAATAAATACTTCCTGTATTTATCGATTGATTTTACTTTGGGAGTAAAATGCCATCATAAATCTTATAAATCTTCAAAGGCAGGATATAAAATAAAATGAAAAATAGAAAACCTACCATGAACCTTGATTCCTTGTAATATGTATTCTTCTAGCCTTTTTGGCTCAACAACAAATAACATGTGTGAGCTTCACTGAGCAAAACAAGTTTGTGAATATTGTGAATGTTTATGGATAGTTTAATCTTGGGGATTCAGCTGCAGCACCAGTGGGATGGAGCTCAGTGTTGGCTTCGTGATGGCTTGTAATGTGAGTAGGTGGCAGGCAGGCATACACATGCCCACATGACCACATGCACTCACACCCGCAGTCCAATCCATTTGTGTTGCAGGTGGCAGCTCTACCAATTCACTGAGTTCAAGTTTTAAAAGAAAGAGAGGTCTCAGGTCAGATAATTGGACTTTGATCACACTTGATCATAACATGGTTAGAAATGTGAACACAGCTGCAGAGGACCTGCCGGTGACATGTTAACTTGCTCTTGCTTAATTAAATGGAATTCTGTTGACCATTAATCGCATGAGAACACCAAACCATATTCTATGAAGTTATTGTTTATCATCCATTTCAGCACTGCATTAGCATTTATGTGGACCACACACCCAGGCTTGGTGGGCAAATCTGCCTTGGCACAGAAGCCATATTAAAAGATGTGATGCTGCGGGCACTTACCTACACAGCCACACAAATATTTTGTGATGAGAAAAAAAAAATGTCTTTAGGTTTCATATTTCACATCAGCAGGGGCTTAATGAAAGATGACACCCTCTAACTGTGTGTCAACACAAACAAAGCAAATGTTCCAACAGGATGGCCAGCAAAGTCATTACAGCCGAGACACTGCATGTTTCATGTGTGAAGCAGTGAGAGGTTTGATCAGAGCTGATGGAATGGAAATAAAGACAGAAATTCCATTGATGGTGAAATGTGTTCACTCAGACCACCACCACCAGCAGCAGGGCGAATATATGCTCTGTCCTCCTTGACTGTCTGAGCCTACGTGATGAGTTTTCTGTCACTTTCTTGGAGTTTGTGGTCTGGGATGTGTCAGTTGTATGTGGGCATATTTTTTTGAGTCAAGCTTACTTTTGTCAGAGAAGGGAATTCATCCCGTTCACGAGTAATAAGATGTCTACGTACTGACTGTGACAGATAACCACCAGTCACTTAGGCACAATTTTCTGCTTTCACTTTGAGCCGTTATGCCGTTTCTGCACATTGTGCTCCAAAAATAAATCCAATAAAAACAAGCACTATTATTATTATTATGTATAATGATGAAATGCTTGAAATTGCTGTCTTTTTATGTGTGATTATCATGACTTTAAAATGACTTTCCAGCTCTGTTCACTCCTCTGAGTGAATGCAGCTCAGTTAATAAGCATAATTACAGGAGTTGAGACATGACGTTTAAAACTACCAGGGGCATAGTTAGGGCCCTCTCTCTCTCGGTTCCCCATATGATTACTGTAATTACAGCCCAGGCGTTCACAGCAGACACATATCAGTGAGAGAGCT